TCACTGAGCCGCGCCGTATCGCCGCTGTGTCGATGTCGGCGAGGGTGGCAGAGGAGATGAACCTACCGTCGGAAATCGTCTCTTACCAGATCAGGTACGAGGGAAACGCATCTGACAAGACACGGGTGAAATTCATGACCGATGGTGTGCTGCTGAAAGAGGTTCAGCGCGATCTGCTGTTGTCGAAATATTCAGTGATCATCGTCGACGAGGCACATGAACGCAGTATTTATAGCGATATTCTCATAGGACTGATGTCCCGCATTGTGTCACTGCGTGCAAAGCGCAACGATCGTTTGAAATTGGTAATTATGTCCGCAACGCTGAACGTCAAAGAATTTTTGTCCGATCGTCTATTTAAAAGCACTCCGCGTTTCATTGAGGTTCCATCACGTATGTTTCCAGTTTCGGTGCATTTCAGTCGTCGTACGGACGATTTGTATTTGAACAGTGCATACAGAATGGTTGTTCAAATCCACAGGTACATGCCTGATGGTGGAATACTAGTATTCGTATCTGGCAAAAAGGAGGTGTGTTTGTTGATCAAATGGTTGCGAAGTACATTTCCATCAGCGAAAGCAGTTTCAGCGAAGAACGACGATGAAAATATGGACGAACAAATTTTAAAAGCGGATTCGCGCAAAAGTCATAAAAGGAAGCGGGCAAAGCGTACAGGCTACGTGACTGAAAATATTGATTTAAACAGTTACGACATCGAATCTTTCCTGAAGACTGACAATACGGACCTAAACGACAGAGATGCTTTGGATGGTGACTGTGACTTAGCCGATGAGGAGAATTTCATGAATCCTTACCTCAATTTTGAACCAGAAGACACACCTTTGTACTGTCTACCACTTTACTCGATGCTTCCTAGCCATAAACAGAAGCAGATCTATGACCCGCTGCCGTCTGGAAGTCGCTTCTGTGTGATCGCTACCAATGTGGCCGAAACTTCGTTGACGATTCCTCACATAAAATATGTCGTGGATACGGGCAAAGAAAAAGTCAGGCTCTACGACACTGTCACTGGTGCTTCGAAGTTCGTCGTGCAGTGGATTTCCAAAGCGTCTGCCAATCAACGAGCCGGTCGAGCCGGGCGAATAGCTCCTGGTGAATGCTATCGACTTTATTCATCGGCTGTCTTCTCTGATTTTCTTGACTTCTCTGTTCCCGAGATTTTGAATAAACCACCCGACGAACTCGTTTTGCAGATGAAATGTATGAACATCGTGAAGGTTCATAATTTTCCTTTTCCCTCTCCTCCAAGTGGTCAAAGTCTTCAGGAAGCTGAGAGTCGGTTATGTAAGCTCGGTTTGTTAGAAGTTTGTAAGGATGATAGCGGCTCAGAACGTATGAAGGTCAATCGTTTGGGTCAAACAGTCGCGTTCTTTCCGGTTAGTCCACAGTATGGTAAAATGATTTGCCTGGCTAACCAGCATGGATTGCTTCCTTACGTTGTATGTCTCGTAGCAGCACTGTCCGTACGAGAACCATTAGTCAACATCGTCGACACAACCGACTCTGATGGAATTCAAAAAGAGAGCGAGCGCCTGTCCAAAATACGATATGATTGGGCAGGTTCTGGCCAGTCGTTTCTACTGGGGGACTTGGCCGTTTTGCTGAACGCCGTCCTTCAGTTCGAAAGCAGCTACTGCAGTGTAGAATCATGTGAACACCTGGGAATGCGTTTCAAGGCCATGAAGGAAGTGCACCAGTTGAGGAAGCAGCTGACCAATATTGCTAACGGCGTCTTCCCTCAGGTTAACTTGACCCTTGAAGCATGCCTGCCTCCGTTGACTACTCAGCAGTATCGGCTACTTCGACAACTAATACTCTCATGTCAGGGTAACAACTTGGCCAAAAGATATGAGTTTTCTCCAGAAAATGCTGACACTAAGTTAAAAAACTCATATTGCTCTGGAATCATGCAGGAACCGCTGTGGATCCACCCGACATCGGTATTATGCAAGCGCTTGCCCACGTGGCTGCTTTATCAGGAAATAATCGACAGCGGCCGCAAATATATGCTGAACGTGATGGCTGTCGAACCCGAATGGCTACCTCAATTTGCCAGTGTATATTTGTGATCGAAGCTGTCATGCTTTTCATGTCTTTCTAAATGATTCAAGAGCTCTCATTAGCATTAAAACAGATCTTCCCAATTGTGTTACAAAATGTTTCGGTGATTCCTGAGAGTGAATTGATTTGTTTATATTTTGCGATGTTTGTCTTTCACCGCTGGCTAGTTAAGATTTATGATGCCTGCTCATCTGAGCATTTAACATTTTGATATTGGGAGTTTTTCACCTCGTCGACCAAAAATACATCCTCGTGGAAAACAGGTCTTCATTTAGTTTCTTTTGTAATGTGATGTGCAGGCCAGCGACATTATATCTACCATGTTTCAGTTATCATGTCAGCAGCTGGCTTGCCAGTGAAGATTGGTCTTTTCTTCATATATAGTCAAACCATGGCAATCCGTGATCGTTAGATTGAATCTACATAATTGTCAGATGG